ATTTTATTTGAATAATGGCATTCAAGTGAAATCATCTTGGCCACATTTTAAAGAGAAATAATCTTTTATTTAATAAGAATTTGAAGAACTGATAATGGCTTTACTAGAAATGATGATATTCATGATATTTTGTGATTTTTGAAAATTTGTCCGTCAAACTAATGTATGCAAGTTTTTTGTAAACTTGGGCCTCGTATGTCTTTTAGGTGAATTTTACTTACCTTAAACCTCATTGGTAAATGGCTACACTGTATAAATGCGTACTTACCAACAACAATTTATATCCAAGTGGTGTATTGCAATGTTCAGTAAAATACTTTTCTTCGAACCAAGTAGCCTTGGCCAAGTATGGCTGGAGTGTTTGACGGAATGTAAATTTTTTATGTTTATGTTTTTGGACAAATGGTTCTTCCTCTTTCATAAATTGGCATTACCTGCACTTATATGAATAGTGTTGAGTATAGAAATAGTAATAATAACTGGTTAATTGACAATAACAGATGAAAAAATGTCCGTCAAAAATGATGTACGCAAGCACCAAGTTCGGAACTTGAAATGCAAATTTTTCAGGTTTACTTTCTGTCAACTATATTTTTATTGTTTTATCGTGACATGTTGGTTCATCAAGTCTTCATTCATGAAGTCTTCATTCTGTGTTTGAATAAAAACAACGTGTTTTATATATCTGTCTCGCAGCCTCTTTTTAAGCAGTTACTCTTTGGGTGCCCCTTAGCATATTTTGACTCATATAGTACTATATAGGTAGTGTTGGGCTTAGGCCTACACCTATTATACATGCGTGCGTGCATGTGTGCGTGCGTGCTAATACAGGTGGGCAGACATGCTACAGACAGCAAGAAAATCTTGCAAACTGGTTTTATGGCAAGGTTACTGTGCTTTCTCACTGCACGTGTGTGCGTGCGTGCTTGTGTGTGTGTGTGCGTGCACGTGTGCGTGTGTGTCTGTGCGCGTGAATATGTGCTCACACCCACTATTCTGCACGTTAGTCGATCATTGCTGCCCGAATTCAATTATGTTATTTCTTCTTGATTTTCAAGTAAATAAGCAACACAAAGTGATATGAGTCAATAATGATAAATCGTGTATATATATATATATATATAACTATGTGAGTCAAAATATGCTAAGGTGTTATTTTCAACGTGGCAGATTAAAACCCCTTGTAATTATGAAATAATTATTTATTTTCCTTATATTCTCCCTGAATATTTATTTTCATTGTTTTATGAGACTCTACACATTTCAGTTATATAACACAGAAAGTTTCAGCCCAATCCATTAACAATAAAGGGAGAAAAAAATGGGGAAACAATTTTTCATTGTCAATTTTTGGCGCATTTTGTAACATGGGCTGACGAACTCCAATGGAATGGATGTATCCTTTTACACCAAGTATCTGAGGAC